GGCCAAGGTGATGACAACTGATTTCTCTGTAATAGCTTTTTCCTTTTGTATTAATTAATAATCTATAATGTGATTCTTTGAGACTTGCGAATATACTGTTCCCCCAATAGCCTTTCGCCCAGTGATTTTAGCTAGCATCCATCAATGGTCCTTTCCCAGTAAGTTAGTTAATACAGTGATGGCTTCAGAACTTTTTAATACTTTCATTTCTTCTACATTTAGTAGTATGGGATTCTTCTGTTAAGAACTTTGTTTACCCCTCCCCCACAGTTTGTTTGTTTGTTTGTTTGCTTGTTTTAGCCAGTTTGTACTGATGGCTGTTTCCTCCTCTGGCAGTGTCTAGACGGCTGTTTAATTAACTCATTGAGTTTTTAATTTGTAATTTTTTAATTTGTATTTTTTAAAATTTGTATTTAATTGTATTATTTGGTTCTCTTTCAAATCTGCCTGATTTCTTTTAGGGTATCTTTTGTTTTTGTTTTCATTTTCTCTTCCTATATCAATCTCTGTAAACATTTTTTAAAGCCTTTGTCCAATAGTTCAATTATCTAAAGTTCATGAAGATGAAATACATATTTTTGTCTTGTGGGGGCATGCTTTGAGGCTTGTTTCCTTGTGATTTATCCATTTTTTTGTTTGTTTCTGGTAGGTTCATCTTCAGTATAGTTTCATCTGTGCTTTTTCTACCCAGGGCAGGCTGGGCAGAAGCCTCCTCGTTCCTCCTAGAAGTATTGTATATGCCTTTGCCAGGTCCCTAAGGAGTATCCTTGACCTTGAACTAACTTAAGTGAAGTCTAGACTTGAAGGTTTCGTCAGTCTCCCAACAACCTAAGATGCACTGACTTCCTCTTTATCTCCTGGTGCCAGTGGTCAGATTATTTTCTCATACACTGAGAACGTGGCCCTATGCCAGGTGCAAGGGATGGAGGTGTGAGAATGGCCTCAATCCAACTCTCTGCCTCTTCTGGGCCTCTGTCTTCATTTCCAGGTCCCACATGGTCACTGGAATCCAAGCTGGTGGGTTTCAAAGCCTACAAGATTCTCCAGAGCAGCCACAGTCTCAGTTTACACACAGTCCATTCTGAATTTTCATTCCCTCTTTACTTGTGGCCACTGGCTATTCCTCTTAACTTTCTGCAAGCTCCATTATCCATTGCAACAAAGTATTTTCTTTTAATAAACATTTCTAGACATAGTGGGGACATTTCACTGTTACCTGGTTTGTTAGTTTACCAGAATTCAAAGTCTCTTTGCACTTTGATGCTTAGGGCTTCAGGGTTCTCAGCTACAGGGTTTGTGCGGTTTTCTTGTGGGTTGTGGTCATTACAGAGATGCCCTGTTTGTCACTGCTTGCTGTGTATATTTTGCTTGTCCTCTGGCTGATGCACAACAGATAGTAAAACCTCTTATTTCTGTCGTATTATATCTAAAATCTGTATAAAACTTTTGTCATGTAAAGCTAGTCTTTACTGAAATTTTTCTCAAGTTCAACTTTTATCTCAGAAAGCTTATTATTTTTGAATAGTCAAAATGATTAAGCAAAAAAGAATAACTTTGGGTTCTTTTACCTTCCTTTTTATTTCCTGTTTATTAACTCATTTGTGTTGGTTGAAAACTTACTTTCTTGATGGTAATTCATTCCTGTAAGTCAGTTTTGCCAGAAGTACTTGAAAAGTTAACTTTACACCGTGTGGTATTTCTTCATTGTACACAATCATTTATTTCTATGCCAGCATGAATCATACTCGCGTTCACCTAAGCTGCTGTCACAGGCCTGGCTGGCCTTCAAGGTTGTGATGCCACGACTTGAAATGTCACATATCCCTCTCGCATCTCTCATCCTTTGTGCCTGTAAATAAACAACATAAGAAAAGCAGTTTTATTATTTTATAGTCACTCCTCTTAGATATGGTGCTAAGATTTTTTAAATATATTTTATTGATTATGCTAGTACAGTTGTCCCATTTTTTTCTCCCCTTAATTCCCCTCCACCCTGCATCTTCCCTCCCACCAGCATTCCCCCTCCCCTTAGTTCGTGTCCATGGGTCATACATACAAGTTCCTGGCTTCTACATTTCCCATACCAGTTTTAACCTCCCCCTGTCTATTCTGTACCTGCCATTTGTGCTTTCCCTATACCTTTTCCCACATTCTCCCCTCCCCCTCCCCACTGATAACCCTCCATGTGATCTCCATTTCTGCAATTCTGTTCCTTTTCTAGTTTGCTTAGTTTTTGTTTTAGGTTCTGTTGTTAATAATTGTGAGTTTTCTGTCATTTTACTGTTCATATTTTTGATAATCTTTTTCTTAGATAAGTCCCTTTAACATTTCATATAATAAGGGCTTAGTGATGATGAACTCCTCAAACTTGACCTTGTCTGGGAAGCACTTTATCTGCCCTTTCATTCTAAGTGATAGCTTTGCTGGATAGAGGACTCTTGGAAACGTCCTTGCCTTCCATGACTTGGAATACTTCTTTCCAGCCCCTTCTTGCCTGCAAGGTTTCTTTTGAGAAATCAGCTGATAGCCTTATGGGAACTCCTTTGTACATAACTATCTCCTTTCCTCAGGCTTCTTTTAAGATTCTCTCCTTATCTTCAATCTTGGGTAATGTAATTATGATGTGCCTCGATGTGTACTTCCTTGGGTCCAGCATCTTTGGGACTCTCTGAACTTCGTGGACTTCCTGGAAGTCTATTTCCTTTGCCAGATTGGGGAAGTTTTCCTTCATTATATTCTCAGATAAGTTTTCAGTATCTTGTTCTTTCTCTTCTTCTTCTGGCACCCCTATGATTCAAATGTTGGAATGTTGAAAGTTGTCCTGGAAGTTCCTAAACCTCTCATTTTTTTTTTTTTGAATTCTTATTTCTTCATTCTGTTCTGGTTGAATGTTTATCTCTTCATTCTGCTCCAAACTGTTGATTTGAGTCCTGGTTTCATTGCCATCCCTATATATTTTTCTTTATTTCATTTTGCATGGCCTTCATTTTTTCCTCTACTTTTCAACCGTACTCAGCCATTTCTGTGAACCTGATTACCAATGTTTTTAACTCTGCATATGATAGGTTGGCTATCTCTTCATCATTTAGTTCTATTTTTGGAGCTTTGATCTGTTCTTTCATTTTGGCCATATTTTTTGTCTTGGCATGCCTGTTACGTAGTGAGGGGCAGAGCCTTAGGTATTCACCAGGGTGGGGCAACTCACAACGCTAGGTTGTGGTGTTATCTGTGGGGGAGGGTTCCAAGAGGAAATAGTGCCACTTGCTTGGCTCTCAGCTGGCTTTCAGTCACTTCCCCCACTACCCACAAGCAAATTGGGCCCTTCTGGTGTTGATTCCAGGGTGGGTAGGTTTGTGTATGTTCTAGGACCCCGTGGGTCTCTCCAGTGAACCCTCTGTGAGGCTGGGAGTTTCTCCCGCCACCACAACCCCCACAGATTTTTACAGTCAGAGGTTTTGAGGCTTTTTCCCCCCACCCTGGAACCCTGGATTGCTTGGTCTGTCTTGCTCCCCAGTTGTTCCTCCCGGTTTATTCGCATGCAAATGGGGGATTGCTTGGTCCACCAGATGCCACCTTGCCCCATTCGCAAACCACCGCCTTTCTGGAAATCCTGTCCGCCTAGCTGCCCGTCTCCGCCCCTCCTACCGGTCTGAATGCATGTTCCTTCTTTATCTCCTTGGTTGTGGGACTTCCATAAAGTTCAATTTTCTGGCAGTTGTGGTTATTTTTTGTTTTTAAATTTGTTACTATCCTTCTTTGGTTGTGCGAGGAGGCAGAGTGTGTCTTCCCATGCCTCCACCTTGGCCGGAAGTCTCTGCTAAGATTTTCTTAAAAACTTGTTTCTGTTTGTGACTTTTCTGTGTATGAAGTATCAATTGGTATTTTTTGTAATACTTTAATTAGTTGGTTTCTTTAGTTAAACTCTAAAAAAAAATAAGCCCTTCACAAATATAAAGTCTTTGAACACAGGCTGTTTATTCTAATACTGTGCTAGGTGCTAAGGGAAAAAAAATACTCCCTGTCCTCAAAAAAAAAGAAATAACCTCTGACTTTAAAGTATTTTGCCACAGATAATGTACTCCCTTGTATGTGTATCCACATTTTTGGACCAAACTTTTAGGAAAAAAATATTTCATTTTAATTTTTTATTCAATTTTTTCATTGATTTATACTTAGAAACAAAACCTATTATCATATTCCAGGGCATTGTTTTGCATATGAATATTGTTATTGCTTTCTAGAATTATGCTTTTAACACATAAGCATAAATAAAAGATTTAAAAACATTTCCATAGATATGGAATTACTACCACCAGTATAATGTACATCCTTATTTTTCCCTCAAAAATTTGGGCAAAAAAATTGCATTATACATTGCAAAATACAGTAATTGCTCTTTAATTATAGGATTAAGTCCCTAAATGTAACTACTTACATTTCCTAAAAGTAAATTCAGAAGAGTGATCAGCAGAGAGTCTGCCAGTAAAACACAGGACTTGCCACAGGATATGAGTAGAAGACAGTGTAGTGCAGGGAAGGGTGAGTACTGTAGTTGCTGGCCCAAAGAGTAGCTTATTAATAGGATGCTGTGGTTATCCCTCTCAGAAAGAACTTCTAAAAAGTCACACAAGGAGCTTCCTTAGCCTGTTTATTTCCTGAAAAAAAGTTTGTTTTTGTTTTTGTTTTTTTGGCTTGTTTGCCATTGAATCATTTGAAAGTCTTAGAGAATGAAAAAAGCTTAATTCTATAACAAAAATAAACACTTTCAACCACTTATGGGTCTTAATACTGTTCAGAAATGTCCTTGTTAACTTTTAGCACAGGTAGTCCACATTGTCTGAAGAAAAGGTAGTGCTGGGGAGGGAGACAGGAGAGGAGCTCCCTCAGGCTTTGTCTCCCTTGGTTGCCAATCGCCTCTGTGCCGACACCCCGTGTTCACGCACTCACTCTGGGCGTCAGAATTACTCAACACACTGACGCTCTTTAATGAATCATTGTAGGGAGCCCAGATTCTGCCTCGCCTTCCACCAGTCCTACTTTCTGGAACTACAGTCGGTCAATGGGGGATTATGCACAAACTCTAAAGAAGTTTCAGTACCAGCTTGCCTGTAGGTCTCAAGCCCCATGTGCAAACAAAGACGAAGCCGATCTCAGTTCTAAACAAGCTGCAGAGGAGGTAAATGGAAAATAAAAATGACTTGATGCTTATGATTTACAGATTATTAGAATGTCTTTTTCACTTCTGGAATGCTTTCTTTTTCTGTGCCCTCCACTTTTGTTGACTAGGACATAACTCTGGCACACATTAAACAATGGAAAGTCTCCTGTCTAAATTTGTACCTAAAACTGAATTATATTGTATGTTTTACTGTTCATGACACCTAGTCGATATCAGTGTCCCGCCTAAAACATTTTTTGGCATTCCTTTATAAAATGCTATCTTAAGTAACAATTTGTCCTTAACATATACAAGACTCTTGCTTTTAAAATATATTTAGGCCCTGGCCAAGTGGCTCAGTTGGTTGGAGCATCATCCTGTACACCAACGATGTTGCAGGTTCAGTCCCTGGTCGGGATGTCTGTGGGAGGCGGCAGATAATGTTTCTCTCTCACATCGATGTTTCTCTCTCTCCCTCCCTTCCTCGTTCTCTAAAATCTATAAATACATCCTTGGGTGAGGATTTTATATATGTATATATATATATGTTAGGTAGATAAAAACATTTGACAGTCTGGGACTTCATCAGTTTAATACCAAATACAGGATTTTTATTTTCTTCTTAAAAGCAAGAAGAATGTTCATTAAACATACCAACTTAAGGAATTTTAAAGATGTCTGCATGAATAGCAATAAGTGCATAATAAGAAAATTATTGAATATTAGATTATTATTGATGGTGTGAATTTTTTCAGCATATTCCACGTATTTTTGAGGTTGGGGAAAGAATGACTGGTTTCTGGCAAGATGTCTTCTTCATTGATTGTTCATTTTAAACGTTTTTAATAGGTTTGGGCAAGAGTGACTATGAATAGACAACTTCTTGATCATATGGATTCATGGACAGCCAAGTTCAGAAACGTAAGTTTGACATTACACTTTGGACAGTGTTCATGCCTCTTAATAACAAAGTATGTTGTTAGAATACCAGTTAGAGATGCTAATTGTTAACTAGACAGCAGAATTACTAGACGTGCAGCGTGGGTGGCACGTGACGTTTACCTCACGATGTCTGTGTTTAAGGGATCCCTCCCTCCCCTGTGCGGTAAACCAGGTCTTCTGAGTAGATGAAGGAACAGTGTGGCCTTCTTCCTTCTCCAGCCCCTCAATTTTATTTTCCAAAGAACCTTTCTGTCAGAGTCTATTGTGTAACCAGAAAAGTAAGGGAAACAAAAATGAGGTCCTTGCCCTCAGAAAAATTCAGTCAGAGAAGATAGTGTATATGCATGAAACTATGTCAAACTGAGTCAATTTCTTCGATTTTTCTAAAGAAGAACCCTCTCTACCTTTAGCCAGAGGTTGGGAAGGCCACTTCCTCCGTGTACGGAGTGAGCGAGTCCGCTCGTTTCAGCCCCACCGCTTCCCCCCGCCCCTTGGAGCCCCTGCAGCCCAGGTTCTCCGGGCCAGTGGTGGGCCCCTCCTCCGCTGCAGGTGTCTGCACTTGGATTCTGTAGAGGCCCCGGCTTCTTCCCCCATTTCATCTTGCAGCATTCACTCATCAGTTCTACACCTTCTAGAAATATGTTGAAATCACTTGTATTCCTTTTCCATTTCTTTTATTATAATTTAATAGGGTATCAAGAGGGAGTGATGAAAACTAGTAGCCTACTTTCTTGAATGAGAAGCCTGGATGGCTTTTAAAAATAAAAACTCTTGCCCTGGCCAAATGACTCTGTTGGTTGGAGCATTGTCCCATACACCAAAAGGCTGCAGGTTTGATCCCCAGTCGGGGCACATACCTAGGTTACAGATTCAGTCCCTGGTCAGGACACGTACGGAGGCAACTGATTAATGTTTCTCTCTCTTCCTCTCTCTCTAAAACCAGTGAACGTGTCCTTGGGTGAGAATTTTAAAAAAGTGTGTTACTAGTTGCAAACCAATATAAACACTGCATGAATAAATGTATGAATAATTACCCTAGCAGTGTAAAGTGAAGTTTATTCTTTTAGCTCAAGTATAATAAGCACAAAAAGAATCATTTAAGAAAACCTTAACATACGATTGAAAGTTTTATATTCCCTTCAAAAACAAACCAGGTGTATGTGATTTAAGAATGTACTCGAATAGCATGTGTACTGAACTCGCGCTGGCTTCGGGTGGCTCCTGCTGCCGTCCTCTCACACTTCGTCAGTGTGTGAGTGCACGAGAGGAAAAAAATCTTAGAGTCTTATGAATAATTATTTGAGAAATTGGAATTATGTGTGCAAAACCTCTACCTCATTTTCTCCTAGTGGATCAATGAGACAATATTAGTGCCACTCGTTCAAGAGACCGAGTCTGTCAGCACGCAGATGAGACGCATGGGTTGTCCGGAGCTGCAGATAGGAGGTATGTGCGACAGCCCGGCGTTCGGTGCGCCTTCATGATCTGCCAAGTGGAACGTTTCTGTAGTGGGTTGTTTAACAACTTCCTTTGTTATCTTGAGGTGACGAAAAAAACTAAATTTCTATAATGTAGTTTTTTATAACACAGTGTTATTGAAATATAATTTACTTACCATACATTTTACCCATGTAAAGTAGTCTGCCATTCCAAGGTTGGAGTGTACAACCTTTACCGTAATCAATCTCAGGCTATTTCATCATTTCAAAAAGAAATCCTGCGTGTCCTTTAGCAGGCACCCCAGGGCTCCACCGCCACCCGCTCCCCAGCCCCCGGCAACTACCAGCCACATTCTGTCTCTAGACAGGCCGCCCCTGGGCATTCCATGTGAACGGGACCGTGCAGTGTGGTGTCCTCGTGACTGGCTTCTTTCACTTAACGTAACCATGTCCTCAAGTTTCACCCATGTAGTATGTGTCAGTGCAGCATGGTGTGCTTTTTAAAAAAGAACGACATTGCTTTATAACTGCAAAAGCAATATGCAATACTCCTGTGTTCACGCAGGAGGTTTGAAATGTGCAGAAATACTCGAAGACTACTCCCCACAATTCTACTTTTGGAGATGACCACTGTTAATTTAGTCACAACCAGTTATATTTTTAAAGAAAAATACTGTAATACTAACTATATATATTTCACTTGTAGGTTATCTCATAGTTTAAGAACATGAAAAGTACATATTTAGGAGTTGAGGAATTAGTGTACATATATATGTACATATTTCTAATTGAATTGGAGTGATGCTGTTTTCAGGAAATACGGTACATATATATATATATTTCTAATTAGGTTGAAGTTATACTGTGTTGTTGTTGTTTTTCCCTCCCACTCTTTCTGTCTGTTAAGTATTCTCCCATATTGCTTTTATGGCTGGACTCTATTTTTTATTTTTCTATATATTTTGTACACTATAGATCTTCCAAAATGGATCTGGCCGCTGCCTTTGTGGAGAAAGAGGGAGAGAGGGAGGGTGGGGGGAGATCTGGCCACCTTGTTGGAAATGATAAAATAAATTATAAGGAAAGTAGATAATGTAAATTCTTAAGGTAAACTATTAATGCTGTCATTTTTTCCTTCAACACCTGTTGAGGGAAGAACATCTGAAGTTTTTTTAGAGACCCACGTGAATAATAAGGTGCTCCGGTGTTTTCTCTTTAACAGAGGCCAGCATCACCAGCTTGAAACAAGCTGCTCTGGTCAAAGCGCCGCTCATCCCCACCCTGAACACGATCGTGCAGTATCTGGACCTCACCCCAAACCAGGAATACTTATTCGAAAGGATCAAAGGTAACAATTGCTCTGAAGAGGGTCAAAGTGAGAACCTTTTTTACTACTTTGAGATCTTATAAATATAACAGGGAAAAAATGTTTTTTTGAAAAAATTAAAATATCAGCCCTGACCAGATAGCTCTGTTGGTCAGAGTGTCATCCAGATACACCAAGGTTGCAGGTTCGGTTCTGGGTCAGGAGACATGCAAGGATCAACCAGTAAATGCATAAGTGAGTGGAACAGCAAATCAGTGTTTCTCTCTCCTCACTCTGCTTCCCCTGCCTTTTCTCTTTCCCCTCTCTCTCTCTCAAATCAGTAACTTTTTTAAATTAAAAGTATCATTTCATTTTTATAAAACATAAATATGACCTTATATTTCATAAAAATGTATTTATGGCTTAACTAAGGCTTATACTGAACAGCTTTTGATTTATATTTTATATGCTTAAGAATTGTCAAAATAGTATACTTAGTCTTGAATATGTTAATCTTATTTTATATAAAGAAACTTAAAAATAAGCTAAATGGGCTCAAGTGAATATTTCATTCATTTTTTATTCCTTTGTTTCCTCTACTTTTTATATTTTTATTGTTGTTCAGTTACAACATCCCATCCCCCCACCCCCCACCCCCGTACCTCTCCCCCGCCCCATGATTTTCTGTTCTTAAACTACCAAGAATGGGTGCCACTCGGGCATTCTTTACAATTTTAGCAAGTCGATTCTTATTTCTTTCAATTTTTTGTCATATTTATTGTGTTCCTTGTTTTATATTTCTGTTATCTTCTGATCACTTCGGGGAGGGGGAACGTGATCTAAGGAGGCTGACTTGGGAATCGGGAAGCTGGCCTCCCCAGTATTCCCATGCTCTCTCTTTTGCCTCTCTGTTTTTATGTGGATAAACTCTGTAAAATGTTCTCATCACTAAATCAGGTTTTAGAAATAGTATTTCACTCTGCCAATTAATTGTAAATCTTAATGTGAAAATGTTGTGGTACCCCCTTCTTTCCCCTAGGTTTAAGTAATAATGTTCAGAAATAAGCATTTATCATGACTTTAAAAATTTTTGTATATAAGGAGGATTCAGATGTGCATGAAACTAGACACCGCAGTGTGTTCAACCCTCTTCACAGCACCCAGTCCCCACGACCATCAGTCCGCGGGCAGCCTCTGCTCTCTCCATGTCCCCATCTTCCTCTCTCTTCCTGTGCTATCTGGAGCAAATCCTACATACCCTTACCACTTCATACCTAAGTATCTCTATACATATCTCTAAAACATAAGACCTTTAAAAAACATAGCCATAATATGAGCCCTGGCTGGCGTAGCTCAGTGGATTGAGCGCGGGCTGCGAACCAAAGTATGGCAGGTTCAATTCCCAGTCAGGGCACATGCCTGGGTTGCAGGCCACGGCCCCCAGCAACCACACATTGATGTTTCTCTCTCTCTCTTTCTCCCTCCTTTCCCTCTCTAAAAATAAATAAAATCTTAAAAAAAAACATAGCCATAATATTACACCTAATATTTTTAACAATTTCTTTATATCATGAAATAAACAGTCTGTGTAGACATTTCCAAATATATCCTAAAATGTGTAATTACTTTTTTTCATATTCTTTGTTTGAATTAGGATCCAAATATTATCACATGTGGTGTGATTGGTTGCTCTATTTAGGTTTCTTTAAGCTGTACGTTTCCCATTGCCCTTTTTTTTCTTTGCAACTTATTTGTTGAAAGAACTGTATCATTTGTTCTGTAGTGTTTCTCCTGGTAGGGATTTTGCTGAATGCATCCCCATGGTATAGTTTTACATGATTCTCTGTTCTTATATGTCCTGAAAATTCAGGTTACAGTTTTTGGCAAGATTGTCTCATAGGTAGCAGGGCATTTATATATCCAAAAAAAGTATGTATGTGTGTGCACATATATGCAAATTATACATAAAGTATTAACATATATTAAATATACAAAAGTCTAAAAAGTACAAGGAATCCTAGTTGAATAGTTGTAAGCATTTTCCGTATTTGATTCTCTCCCCCCCTTTCTGTCCACTGCTCCCCCACTTACACAGAGTCCAGCAAAACTAACGCCATTGAGTGTGGTGGGTGGGGGACATGAATGTCTCGCACAAGATGGACGGCAGTTTGAACATTTCACCTAAAATGTCATGTGGTGTGCTTGAGTGTGACATTGTTATGTTACAGAATAACATGCTCGTGCTTTTGTAGTGAAAGATTTGGGGATAAAATAGGGGCATTATCTGTGCCAGACCCTGTATATACGCGCACACATGTTTTTGCTCATTTGAAAGTATGTTGTAGACATCATTACTTTTCAGCACATCAGCTCCTAAAAAAATAAATAATAACACTCTCCTGTGTTACCAATATGATGATCAGATCTTAAAAATTAAAAATATTTCTATAATATTGTCTAATATACAACAGTTCATATTTAAATGTCCTAATTGTCCAAAGAATGGTATATACCCTTTTTTTCCTAACCAGGGTAGTATAGGTTCACTCTTCGTATGTATTGGGGTTTGGTCTTTGTTTGTCTCTTTGTCTAGAACAGTGCTGCCACCTTCTCCCATGACATTGACTTTTTTAAGAATCCAGAACATTAGTCTTATCTCACATTTTGGATTTATATGGTTCTTCTCATGATGTTTAAGTTAATCTTTCACATCTTATATTTCTCCACGTAATGGGTCTTTTGATCAGGTTTTTTAAATGACATGCTTCATTTATTATAACCCCTTAGTCTTTTTCCCCTTCATTTTGCATAGTCTTAGTTCTTTATTTTGCCTTCGCTGCTACAGAACTTTCTCAGGGTGGCTGTATGAGCTCATTTCGATGGAACAGAGGTGGAGACTTCAAAGGACGCAAGTGGGACACGGATCTACCCACTGATTCCGCGGTAAGTCTCTGGTTGTGTTTTCAGTTTTGTCAGTTGGATGTATGTGTTTTTATTCCCCCATTATCAAAATAAGAATTAAAAAGGATTTAGAAACTAAGGTAGAAATAAAAAATTAAAACTGACATTGGCCGATGTGGCTCAGTTGGTTGGAGCATTGTCCCATGCACCAAAAGGTCACTGGTTTAATTCCTGTCAGAGCACATACTTAGGTTGTGGGTTTGGTCCCTGGTCAGGGTGCGTACAGGAGGCAGCTGACGGATGTTTCTCACATTGGTGTTTCTCTCTCTTTCTGTCTCTCTGTCTCTTTCCCTTCCTCTCTCTTTAAAATCAATAAATGTATCCTTGGGAGAGGATTTAAAAAATTGTTTTAGCCCTGGCTGGTGTAGCTCAGTGGATTGAGCTTAGGCTGTGAACCAAAGTGTCGGAGGTTCAATTCCCAGTCAGGGCACATGCCTGGGTTGCAGGCCACGGCCCCCAGCAACCACACATTGATGTTTCTCTCTCTCTCTCTCTCTCTCTCTCTCTCTCTTTCTCCCTCCCTTCCTTCTCTAAAAGTAAATAAATAAATAAAATATTTAAAAAAAGTTGTTTTAATTAAAATTTTTCCAATATCTTAACCCAACAAGTATTACTACTTTGGTTTATTTTTTTTTCATTTACTTGATTGTGCTATTTTTTAATGTTTTTTAATCATAGTTGTAATCATTGTATATGTAAAATTATACATATTTTGTTTTCATTTTTACAGTGTTTAAGTAGTTTTTTCATTATTACACACTGTCATTGAACTGTTCTCCTATATCGGACCTAAAAGTTTGAGAAGTGTGGTGGGGAAGGGAGTTTTGTTTTTCCTGTCCTAGATACCATCGCAAGGAAGGTCCCAGTGCACATTTCTTTGTGTGGGGTCACTACTCGGAGAAAGACCCCTAGGATTAGACTTATATGATCAAAGACTATCAAGTTTGGGGGTATTTAAGAGTTTTTCAAAACCATATTCTTTATTTTTTTTATAGTGACTGTTATGTGTGAAAATGAAGTTTTAAATGCTGATACTCAAATTCAGAACTGAACAGATGTGTATTTTATCTTGGTTTTGCTGTTCATTGACTATATGGGTGTGAATGATCCACTTAACCAAAAACTGGGAATATCTTTTATCTTTCATTTTATAGATTTCATCTTATAACCACTTAAAAGCATTTTTGCTAATTCTCTCTTTATGGAAAAGTTTTAAAATTGGAGTCATAAACACACGTTTTTAAAGGGCTACATCCATGATAGATTTTCACGCTGACTTTGGAAAATTGTTTCCTCGTTTTCAGATCATCATGCATGTGTTTTGTACCTACCTCGATTCCAGATTACCTCCTCATCCTAAATACCCTGACGGGAAAACTTTCACTTCCCAGCACTTCGTTCAGACACCAAACAAACCAGGTATAAGCCTCTCCTGAAATAATGCATTGAGCCTTTCACATGAAGTATAATATCTAGTGGTTTTGTTTGTTTTTTCACGTAGCATGTTTCCTTTGCAGATGTGACAAATGAGAATGTTTTTTGCATTTATCAGAGTGCCATCAACCCTCCCCATTATGAGCTAATCTACCAGCGTCACGTCTACAATCTTCCAAAGGTACTTCTAAATGTGGAAGCTGCTATAATGGAATGTCACGGATGACTTCTTTGATAATATTTTTAAAATTAGAACCTCTTGTTTATGGAATACGTAAACTTTCTAAATTAGGGAAAATGTGGTTTTTGCATATCCCCTTTTTTAACTATAAAAGTATTATATGCTTAATTTGGAAAAGGCTTTTAAATTATATATCAACTGCTTTTATATCACGTACTACAAGAAGGGTTATTGTACCAGTTTACGCTTCTACCCAGGTATTTTACTCTTGGTTGCAAACATTAATCCCTTGCAGTTATTTTTGTTACCAGCATCTTTACTAAGAAATTTTATCTCTTAATATTATGATGGAGAACATCATAAAATATGTTCTCCATCAGATTCCCAAGAAAGAGTATTAATGTCATTATTTTCAAGTTTAGTATTTCAATTTTGTATGTAAATATTTTGGGCCATTGAAGTTCCTTTGAATACCCATGCAAATTTTTTAAGAAACACTGTCTTTTAAAAATTATATGTCAAATTGCCCTGGCTGGCGTAGCTCAGTGGATTGAGCGCGGGCTGGGAACCAAAGTGTCCCAGGTTCGATTCCCAGCCAGGGTACATTCCTGGGTTGCAGGCCATAACCCCCAGCAACTGCACATTGATGTTTCTCTCTCTCTCTCCCCCTCTCTCTCTCTCTCCCTTCCCTCCCTAAAAATAAAATAAATAAATAAAATCTTAAAAAAAATTATATGTCAAATTCTTGAGTAAAAGCATTGAATCAGAGTAAGCAGGAACAAGTTAAACAATGAATTGAAAATCTAAGTTAGGAGCTAGTGTACAGATCAGAAATTACATACAATCGTTTGATTTTAGGGCTTGCAAAATGCTGCCTTGTAGTCACAGATAAATTTACGTTTAATATGTTACTTACACTGTTATTAACATAAAGTTGAAGTGTGATTAAAAGTTTGTCAATCCCCACACTTTGTTTATGCTGTTAATTTTTGGGACAGAGTACTTTTCGTGTGCAGTGCACAGGACACCAGCCTCACAATAGCTCTGCTGGGCCTTTGTAACTGCTGCTCCCAAGTGTAGAAACTTCCCGGTCAGTTCACTTTCTGTTCCTCTCTCAGGTCTCGACTTAATCTTTCCCTTGAGGAGGCATCCCCTGCCTCCCCAGTCTGGGTCAGAGGCCTGCGCGTGTTCCCATGGCACCCTCCCCTAGCCCTCATCACTCAGCACACTTTCTGTAATTCTGAGTCCACCGTCTGCCTTTCTACTAGACTTGAAGCCCCTCGACTACCTGGATCCTCTCTGCCTTACTCACTGCAGTATCTCTGCCTCCTAGCACAAAGTAGGCACTTCGTTTAATGAATGAATGAGAATCTGAATTACTTGGAACTCTGAGTTTGTAGAAGGTGAATTGACAGGATCTGCATTTACCTATCAGACTGAATCTTTTGCTCAGTTTGGTTTAAATCTTGCCTTTCTGTCTTTGTTCCAGGGCCGGAATAATATGTTTCATACATTATTGATGTTCCTCTATATCATAAAGACCAAAGAGTCAGGAATGCTCGGGTAGGTATTTATGCTTTGGACACACAAGTACTTTATTTATTGATTTGCTTGCTTCCTTTATTAAGATCGTGTAGGAGTGTCAAGTGGTTGACCCTGGGAAGGGTGCTTGAGGGAGACAGAACTGCTTATTTCTGTCAAACTTTTAACAGTATATGTTTTTTAATTTTTGTTTTTGTTTTTTGCTTTTGGTATTGTGATTTATTTTAAGAAAAATCTTCCTTTAAAATGCAAATATTCATGCTAAATGAAAATAGAATTAAACTTATAAATGAGGAACTTAATCACAAACTCTACTCTTACTGTCCTTGCAGGTATTGTCTTTTTTTAATAATTAAAATATCTTAATACATTAAGCTATTGTACAAAAAAGACATCTTAATTATATTGAGTTTTCATTAATATTTGCAGACTATACTAAAGTATATGATTTTTAAAAATTGAGTATGTATTCATTTCAATAAAAAATTTAAAATATATATTACAAAAAGCCCTTCACAAATAGTAATTTCTGTCAATCATGTTTTCTTTTTCTTCATGCCGTCACCAACACTGCAAATGATAAATATCAATTTGATAGGAAAATGTTTTAATTTGGGCTTGTTCATATATGAAGCTGAGCATCTTTCATATTTATTGATCATTTGTATGACGCCGTTCTGTGAAAAAGTCTGTGTCTGTGTGTATTTTTTAAGATTTTATTTATTTGTTTTTGGACAGAGGGGAAGGGAAGGAGAAAGAGGGAGAGAAACATCGAATACTTGCCTCTCGCACGCCCCGAGTTGGGGACCTGGCCCACAACCCAGGCACGTGCCCTGACTGGGATTGAACCAGCGGCCTTTCGGTCTGCAGGCCTGTACTCAGTCCACTGAGGTGCACCAGCCAGGGCTTTTCTTATGTTTTTGACCATTTTCTATATTTTTCTTTTCTAATTAACTTACATACTCTCTTTAAATGTGATGAATATTAACGTGGATTTGCTGTCTTGGGCAAGTCCATTAATTCTTCATAACGTCCATTTCCCTGTTGGGGAAAGGCAGTTGGACCACATCACTGGCCTTAACAGTTGTGTCCCCCAGGGGAACAGTTCTGAGATCTGTGTCAGGGCCTCACCACTTTAAAAACAAAGCCAAACTGGTGCCCAATTTTATTCAAGCCATGCCATTTCAAACACATGGTGCTCTGCAAAGTGTATTCTTCCAGAGACATGGAGTCAGCTGCCTCTCAATAATATTGTTAACTAGGCTGGAAAAATTGAAGTTGTCTACTTTGTTCATTCTAAATACTTAGTAATAAAGCTCACATACCATTATAATAAATTCAAAATTGTTCTCTTGATATTTTGGTGATGCTAAGCTTTGGTGTGTCAGATAATAATTGAAATAAGTGGACCCCAGCCAGAGCTGGGGAAGTCTAGTACTACAGGTCTGGGAGTATGCAGTCTTGGGTTCTCGGTCCAGCTCTGCCCTCACTAAGTAACTGAAGGCTAAGAAAATGTAAAGGGAGGTGCCTGCAGTAAAAACAGCCAGGGTCCATTCCAATTCTGATACACATGCCTCTTTTTATTTATTTATTTTTAGGGAAGTGGGTGGGGGAGAGAGATATTAATGTGCGGTTGCTGGGGGCCATGGCCTGCAACTTAGGCATGTTCCCTGATTGGGAATCGAACCTGGAATGCCTGGTTCGCAGCCCGCGCTCAATCCACTGAGCTACGCCAGCCAGGGCCACGTGCCTCTTTACAGTTTTGTTTAGGCATCCTGTCTTACGCATGTTCTAGAGCAACATTACACAGCAGCCGCCAGCCACAGGTGGCGTTGCGCATGTGAAACATGACTAGCCCAAATTGAGGTGTGCTGTAAGTGTAAAACACACAGACTAGACATCAAAGATCTAGTACCAAAAAAAGTAAAATATCACATTAATAAGTTTGCATATTGTTGAAATAGTATGTTGGATATATTGGGTGAAATGAAATGTATAATTAAAATTAATTTCACCTATTTTTACCTTTCTTTAAACTTTTTAAGGTGTTTACTAAAAAATGTGAGTGAAGTCATACGTGTGGCTAGCATTTGAGACGCACGCCACATTGTCGCTCTGCTGGGCGGCGCTGCTCTAGAGAAAGCCCGGCTACTGCTGTCCAGCACACGAGGTGCAAAGGCTTAAAAAGATGTAAACAAAGTTATAAACAAGTAGAACTGTTAACCAGCTTCTGTTATCATGTATTTTAACGTAAAAGATAGATATTTATCTTATAAAAAGATAAATAGCTGGGACAAATAGCTATTTATCTTATAAAAAGATAAATAGTCTCACTTTTGTGAGACGTCTAAACTCCATGGTTCTTTATTTTTTTAATTACACAATAAGGCATGCTCAATTTAGAAATGTTTAAACATACACCTGTGTCTAAACTAGAATTTGAGAACTCCCTGCTAATCGGCTCCGTCACTCTTCTTCCCTCTCTCCGGAGGTGCCAAGTGCTAGCAGTTCCCAGCGTGTGTCTCCAGACCACTTTCTGGGAGGGAGTTGATTTTGGCTTTGTTTTTCTTTTTTCTTTTTTTTAAATATATCGGACCCAACCATATTAGTCTGTGACCTGCCTTTTAACATGATGGTATATCTTTGACATTCTTCTATGTCAGCAAATACCGATTTTTTCCTTAAAATTTCTAGCAGTACTTAGTTATAAAGCATATACATGCATACCTGTGTATTTGAAGGATAGAGTATGCTATAAATACGTTGTTGGTAATTCTTCACTTAGAATTTCTGGAAGGTTACATTGAAGTGAAGAATTAGTTTAGAACTATTTTAAATAATGAATTTTTAGTTTTGGGCTTTAATTGAAAACGTATCTTTTCCTCTATAGATCCAAATTGGTATTTTGATGCATAATTCATTTGCTGTGATACAGTAGCATGAGGCGTGTGTTGAGTGCCCTGTACAATTTGTCATGGGCATAAAAATGTAAAAACTTTGTTAAAGTACTCAGTGGGACAATAATTCACTGAGAGGCAAAAAAATTAATATTTTTTGAAATGCTTCTCTCTCTAAATGTGCAACTTATAATGAAACTTTTCTGACTAAGACTACTTTGTGTTTTATTTATTTGGCTTTTCTTAAGCAGGGGAAAAAACTTGGAAATTAACTTTAAAAATATGATTAGTTAATCTTTTTAATGTAGTCTGACATAATCAAATGGTGAAAAACTACTCTTCTCTCTTAAAGGAAATAGCGAGTGGCTCAAATGTAGTCAATTTGGAATCGTGCCCATAAATCAACAGGTCGGTCCAAAAACATTTTCAATCTAATGCCACGTATTTGTGCTGTCACTGGGATGAGCTGAACACTTTACTTCCAGAAGGGAGAGGAATCTAGACAGAGCCGACCACACAGTCATTGAAGTGTTCTGTTCAGCGAAAGGCACCATAAATAAAGTTTAAAGCTAAATGATAAACTGAGATAAAGCATTATAATTGCAACACCTACTGCAAATCTAAGTTAATATTTCTCACATATAAAGAGCATATGTCCTGGCTGGAGTAGCTCAGTGGATTGAGCTCGGGCTGTGAACCAAAGCATTGCAGGTTCGATTCCCAGTCGGGGCACATGCCTGGGTTGTAGGCCACGGCCCCTAGCAACTGCACATTGATGTTTCTCTCTCTCTCTCTCTCTCTTTTTCCCTCCCTTCCCTCTCTAAAAATAAATAAATAAAATCTTAAAATATATATATATTTTTTTTAAAAAGCATATGTAAGTTAATTAGAAAAGTATAGAAAATGATCAAAGCTGTGAAAGACTTTTTCACAGAAAATGTCAGGCACTGGATTGGGAGTAAAAGGGAGAAAACTGTATTTGAACAATGATTAAAATAAAATTAAAAAAAAAACTAGATAGACAAAAAAAAGAAAAAATGTCAGGCAAATGGTAATAAACATGGAAGGATGCTTAGCCTCGTATACAAACAAGCCCAAATTAAAACATTTTTCTAGAAACAGGGAGACATAATTGATAGAAATAACCTCTTATAAAGGACAATTTGTGTGTATATTTTTAATTTTTTTATCAAAATAGGTACATACTCATAACTTTAGTGCTAAAAGTTTGTGTGCTAAATCATACAGTGCTGAAAGTTTCTGACAGAAAGCAGCAGTTTTCTGTGTTACTCAAGTCCACTTCCACTTGAAACTCCCGCAGATTTTCCCTGTCGCTCCTCCCATGGTTCCGAATAACAGGTACGCAGCGCTCTCTCAATTCTTCCGTGTCGGACACAGTTGGTTGACTTCTTACTCTGTTGATGAGGGATTTATCTCTCTCACGGCCCTCCTCTCCTCCTCTTGTACTCTGGGTACAGTGACGGTGCTCTCTGCAGTAGAAGCTGATTCTTCTTTTTATTATATGCAACATGGCTTACCCATATGCAAATCCGCTAAAGCATCTCTAATAATTAGAAAATTCCTAATTCAAGGCAGATAGGTAAAATTCTGTCTGATATAACAGTTCTTGAGGTCTGCTGAAAAATTAAATTTCAGTACTCTGTAAGTCTGTTTATTCTAAACCCAGGTACTAAGCACAGTTAAGAAAGTAGTTACTGTTACTGGAATTCACCTGATAAACCGTGTGTGTCATACCTTATCACAGAGCAACTTTAAACGTCATCAATTAAACAGTGTTTCTTGTTTTAGTTATCTGTGAAAAGCCCTTCAATGTTTGGCCATCAGTGCCACTGAAACTTTTTTTTTTCTTTGCAGGAGAGTTAATCTTGGTCTGTCCGGTGTGAATATTTTGTGGATTTTTGGCGAATAGTGGATCGTTTAGTTCCGAACATTTAGGCTTTTATTTGGCTGGATCGGCAGTTGAGTGGAAGCATCTCCGAGTCACCGCCCCTTTTGTTTTACGGCGCATTGTGTGTACGTGTTACAGACTCTCTAGCTTTAAGGAAGAATTGCCTGTTTTAAACCTTCCTTGTGAAAGCGTGCCCTGTACCTCCCGCACCGGGGGACACCACCCACCATCAGGTTCTCACCACACCTCAGGCTGTTCAGTTGCCTGCAAAACTGCAGCTTTTCAGATCGTTGTTGACCCAGGACAGTGCAGTTGCTGCTCAAGTCAATGAACAGGAGGCCTTTTTTGTTTTAACTTCCAAATAAGAATCATCTACCTCATTCTTCCCCGCAAAAACTGATTTTTCGATTATATTATTTAGTATAAATATTTGAAAAGAAACAAGCAAGTCACTAACATTCTTTTTGTGTTTTAGTCTCTGTCTTCCCCCAGTGTTTGGCAAACCAGCGCAGGGCCCATAGTTTTAAAATGAGATCAACTTCTAAGTAATGTGTTAGTTCTTGTGTGTTTCTAAAATATAATTGAAAGAAGTTTGACAGGATTGTGTTTAAAAAGTCAGCTCTTGGGCTAAATGTAGCCGACAGAATTGACTATTCGGGTCTTAGTGACGAAGCTGAGGACATCAAGAAGACTACTGCTGCTTTGGTTTCAGTAACTCAAGTCGCACAGGCAACATTTTCTCAGAGGTCTATCTCTGTAGCCTCCATCTTTAAACATTGAATTCCATAATATTGTATGTATGATTCTAAGAGCTCCCTTTAAGATTGTATGATTTCTTATGTTTAGATTTTTCAGGTGTGTTCTAATCTGGAGAGTGAGCAGTTACCGGGTTTGTAAGTGCTCGACTCCCCGTCGGTGTTTCCTGCGTGTGTGTGGCGTCCTCCGGGCCAGCCAGCAGTTGCTTGTGTTTTCTGGGGTGACATACTCTCTGTGTCCGTCGCCTGGGAGGACCCAAAACGAGTGTGTTCTCAGTGACTGCACGTCAGCGCTATATGTGCAGCCCACTTTGTGCGATTTTTTTTGTAAATTCTCTTTTTCAAGAAGTTGTTTCTGTTTTTTAAAAGTGGAATATCCACAGGAAAGGACGTTTCTATCTTTCAATGGCTTTTGGTGCATGTTACTATGTTTGCTATGATGTTTTGGGAGAAAATGTCGATTAAACATGTTAAATGTAAGGACATATTAAGAGCTCAGTCTATTATTTCAATAGTTATTAAAGGTGTCCTGGAACAACAGTTACTTTACTGCTAGACTATTCAGATGCATATTCTTTTTTTTAAAGCTTTTATTTTATTTATTTTGAGAAAGAAGGGAAGGGAAGGAGAAAGAGAGGGAGAGAAACATCAATCTGTGGTTGCCTCTTGTGTGCACCACACTGGGGACATGGCCCACAACCCAGGCATGTGCCCTGATTGGGAATTGAACCGGTGACCTTTTGGTTGCCAGCCCGCGCTCAGTGCACTGAGCCACATCAGCCAGGGCCAGATGCATATTCTTTATTAAAAGCAACAAGGAGAAAAACGTTAGCAATACATAAAAAAAATGTATAGGACTTAAGGCAGCTTTTAGTCCAGAAACTTAAAGCTAGAACCTTTTATTTTTTTTAAGTGATCATCAGAAATACAATATACTAGCTCTGGCTGGTGTGGCTGGCTGGTGTTGAAAGAACTTATATGTACGACCGATGGACATGAACTGAGGTGGGGGAATGCTGGTGGGAGGGGGGTACAGGGCAGAGGGGAATAAAGGGGAGGAAAAAATGGGACAACTGTAATACATAAGCAAGAAAATACACAAAAATTTTAAGAATTACAGTGTACTCTAAATACACATGTAAAAAGACTATGCATAAAATAGAAAAGATACTTTGTGTGCATGCTAAGTCTAGTGGGTAGCTTTCCTATATTAACTTATCTTCACAGATGTTTGAGCCAGCCTTTAATAGAGCCTTCATGAAAAATTCACATTTCAGGAAGACAGTGCACAGAAAATACGGTAAATTTTTTGGTCCTGTATTAAAATGAGTAAATATCTACTTTTCTCTAATTAACTGTTATTGATAGGATCTTTTTCACTAGTTCATATTGCTTGACTCATCCTTGTGGGCTCAAATGCACTAATCTTCTAGATTATGTTCACTATATCATTTGTTCTTTTCTCTCTGAATACCAACTTTGACTTCAGCCAAATTTGTTTTAGGGGCATAGTTAGGTGTTTGTAATTTAGTTCCTACTGAGACATAAAAATGCTGTGTTGCTTGCCTTTCTCCAGGTGATACACACTTTACACTGATGTTTTCATGGTGAGGACACGCAGCATGCGGATGGCACGTCTAAACTCAGCTTTGCAATATAAACCCTTTAAATGCGGCGTTCCTCAAAGGCCAGTCTTTGCTCCTCTGCTTCACTGCATTGTGCTTTTCCTTAGAGACCTCATTCTTTCCACAATTCCATTTATCACTTCTCTGCACTTGACTCTCAAGTTCATCACCGACCAAAATGTCTCTCCCGAGCTCTGGTGTTCCATTTCCTGTGACCTGTCAGACATCTCAGATGCCCGCAGACCCTGTGTCTGGAACGTAATTCACATCTGCTGAGACCAGCCCCCTCGTCTAACATCCCTGTTCCGTTCATTGTGTTAGCAGTCGCCCACGCTCAAAACTCGGGTGTCATCTTTGATTCCTTTGGCTCCCTGGGTCCCCAATCCAATCGGGCAGCAAACCTCATCCATTCTTTCTTAACAGTGTTTCTTGCAGCTGTCCCTTTCCACTGCTGCTGCCACTGCGCTCATTTACACCCTTATCAACTCACACAGGACTACTACAGCAGCCTAATTAATCTCACAGCTTCCTAACTGTTGCCATGCTTCCAGATTTTCCAATTCATCCTGCACATTCTCTGCAAATTCATCTTCCTGAAACACCTGTTTGATCATTTCGTTCCCCTGATGAATTCCTTAGCCTGACATTTAAAGCTCCCCGCAATCTGGCCCCAAGCTAGCCTCATCCACCAGGCCCTTGGCTGCAGCTGGTGCCGGCTGCTTCTCGGTGGGCTCCCTGCACGCTGCCTCGCGGTCATCCAGATTGCTCCCTGGGGATGCCTCGGCCCTCCGCAGCCCACCCCTGCCCGCGACTTCACTCTAATTAAACCTGCTACTTTCTGGAGCTGGTCCTGACTGCTCCAGCTGGCAGTCATTTCTCCCCCAGGGTGATCTGTGCCCTGTTTTTGGCACTCAGCAGTCATATGAATGGGTTCAGAAGTGACTTCCAGTCTCTCTAACAGTGTGTCCTATATCTTGCCTCACCCTCACAAAATAATGGCAGTTTTTACTAGTTGAGCTGTACTGCTATTGAAGAAGACTTGATGAAGACTTAAGGCTATTTTTTGAGAAAGGCTTGCATTCTCCTCTTTGAAGGATGGACACTTTTTGAGCAGCCAGACACACTGGCATGGAAAGTTGAGGTGTTAGGGACATGCCACAACCAATTCCATGTGCTCTTGGGGGTCTTCCATGGTGCACTGGGGTGGGGCCATTGCACTTGACAGCCCATTGTCCCAAATGCTGCAGGGTGAGGGATGGGAGGAGCTGTTGGTTCACCTCCCTTCTGGGTGGCTTCTATCCCATCTGTCCCTACACTGTGTGTGAGGATCGGCAGCGGAGGGCCGAGCTCTCTGGCAAGAAGGCTCCTGGGTAGGACCTTGTATGGGGACTTGTCCGCATGCTTAAGTGAGAGGGGCTGGCACGGTCAGCACCTTGGCCCTGGTGACATTGCCACATCTCACACTGGGTATGACGGGGGCTTCCTGCCAAGTCTGCAGGATTCTTAGGTGTTAGCTCTGAGTCACGTCTCTAATTTGACCCCTGAAGGCGAGCAGTAAGTTCATGTCCACAGTGAATGGGCTCCACTGATGGGGACAAGTTACAGATTCTGCAGCAGTGGCACCTCAGTTGGGGTCAGGAAGAAGAGTCCTATACAGCCACATGGGCATGGGAAACAGCTTTGTGTGCCTCCGGGTCCCTGTCCATCTGGGACAGCAGTGACTCCAAAGATACTTCATAGCAAAGTCACACACAAACAACCCTGGGTACCACTAAGGGTGGAATTTAAAGCTATAGGTAAATTTTCCCATGCCCCACGACAAAATGAGTATGCCAAAGTCTGTCTAGCCAGAAGAGCCAGTGGCCTCGATGGGCTGTTGTGACTGCAAGGACTGAGCTTCGTCACTGGTGGGGCAGGGCAGTTAACTTCTTACCCTGTAATTTCTGATGAAGATAAAGATAACTCCTCACACCAGAGATCATTGAGAAGCTAAACATGAGAATATAGATGGCTGTGCTTTTAGGTAGTGGAAAAAAATGGCTTTGAAAAAGTCTTTCAAAACAATACGTTAGTGTAAAACTAGGAGATGGCCCCTGTGGCGTTGTAAAGCAACTGTCTCGTGGCCTTGACACTCAAGCCTGCCCCAGGCAGCCTAGCCCAGCTGTGGCTGCCGCCTCCTCCCTCGGTGCTCCCCCCAGCCCGGCCCTGGCCGTCACCCAGTCGTCAACAGTACTGTCCTTGTATCCTGGAGGCTGGGCTTTCTGGTCGACCAAGAAAACACATTCTCCTTCCTTTCCCATTTCTAAACGAGAGGGAAAAAATAACAACCCTGAATCAGACTCTGCTTTCATGAAACTGCGACCCGTAGGAGGAAAGTCAGAAGGTGGTGATCTGCTCTGTTGGGGGCAGAGCTTGTTTCTGCAGGAGCACAGCCGGGCCTGGTTCTTCCTCAGCACGTGGTGTGTAAACTGCAGTCCGGCCGCGCTGTGATGGTTTTGGCCCGGGACACAGGCATTAGCTTACCGAGCTCCAACGGCAAAGAAAGGCCCTTGTGTTCCTGATGGGGAGGGGTATCATCCGCTGGACGGCCTGAGGGGCGGAGGAGGAGCCCAGCCAACTCGAGAACGTGAGGCTTGGCAGAAAGAAGTCTGAACTGAAGCCACCAGCCCCCAAGCCTGGTGGTTTGAGAGAGTTAACGTAAGTATGGCTTCCATCTCAAGTTCCTTAACCACGCTTAAAAATAAAGTCAGTACAATACTTCACTTCCAGCTCAATGTCCTGCTCGAGTTCTTTGATTTCTTTTTAATGCCATCTTGAAAATTCCTGGAGTTGAATACCTTAAAGTGGTGGTTAGACACCACTTAAACCAAGTGCCTTGGGCAGGACTTAGAGGCAAAGTCCACGTCCTGGAATAGTGTCCCTTGAACTGGACACTAGATACTTCCTGTGTAGTCAGAGCAACTCTGTTTCCTTTAAGCTCCTGTACCACTCCCAATCAGTTAACACTTTTTCCCACCTCACAACTCTGTCCCCGTGCACACCCCTCCCCATACACCCACCCTCAGTAGTTTCTGTTAGAGAGGGATCTGCAACTACGGCCGGCCGCCCTCTGACCCAACCCTGGCAGGTGCGGTAGTGGGGCGACACTAGGACAGATGCCCAGGGAGAACCGCAGCCCTCTCCGATGGAACACCTGTGAGTGAACACCTGTGAGCGGTGGCCATTTCTGTTACACCGCAGCTCCCTCGAGGTCCTTGAGGGCAGGTGTGTATTAGGTGCTCGCTAAATATTTGTTGAATTAATCGTTGGGTTAAGTAGAATTCACTTGAAAAAGACTGGAATTTTCAGTGAGTGTGCTTTCCACGCTGAAAGACCTCTCTGGCTGATGGGTGAGTGTGGCAGAGAGAGAAGCAAGGAGTTGGCAATCGGCAGTGGGATCTAAACTCCCCTCTTTGCTGGGCTCCATGAAAGCATTCAGGAGTGAGGAGGATGTGTGTGGCAGGGGGCAGGGAGGGCGGGGAGCCATCTAGATACATACCTGCCAGTGGTTTCTCAGTCGGATGCAGAACTGGTGGCACCACAGCCTCCCAGCGGGAGCTGTCCTGGGGCGGATGCAAGGGCACAGGGCTGGGAGCGCTGTGATCCGGTCACAGGACACCATTACCCTGTTCTCCAACACACGGGTGTTTTCTCCACGTGTGCATCTACCTGGACTAGAGGGTGTATTTCCTGAGCTGCTTCCCTGGCATCTGCTTTCTCTGATGAGGAAATCAAGTTAGTCCGCGGCCACAGTCCGTGCCTCCTGGCCAGGGTGGTCTCAAACGCATTCCCTAGTTGTGCATACTTTGAACAAACACACA